TATCGTGCGCGCTTGGTAGCGCAAGGTTTTCGCCAAGAGGAAGGGATAGATTTCGATGAGGTATTTGCGCCTGTCGGAAAGCACACCACCCTTCGTGCTCTGCTTTCTGTTGTTGCTGCACGTGGTCTAGTTCTGGAACAGATGGATGTCAAGACCGCGTTTCTTAACGGAGATCTAGAAGAGCCTGTGTTTTGCGGCAAGCCGCCAGGCTATGACCTTGGTGGACCTGATGATGCTTGTTTGCTTCACAAATCGCTTTACGGTCTGCGGCAGTCTCCGCGAGCGTGGTATGTTAAGCTCAAGGAGGAGTTGAGGAAGATGGGCTTCAAGCCTACTGCTGCCGATCCTGCTATGTTTGTCCGTGGCGAGGGGGATGATCGTGTTTATTTCTTGATCAACGTGGATGACTCCCTCACGGCTGCTAAATGCCAAGAATTGGTTAACGAGGTTAAAAGACGGTTGATGGAGGTTTTCGAGACGAGAGACCTAGGGCCTGTCGATCGTTTCGTTGGTATGGAGATCAAAAGAAGCGTGAACGAAAAGTGGCTGAAGTTGTCACAGCGGAAGTACACTGAAGGCCTGTTGTCGAAGTTTGGTTTTGTTGATGCCAACGGTCGCGCTACACCGCTTTCGCCTGGAGTTCAGCTTCGTGTTGCTGAAGAGGGGGATGAGTCTGTGGGTAACGAGTATCGCGAGCTAGTGGGCGGACTTATGTATCTTTCGTCCTGTACTAGGCCGGACATTTCTCAGGCCGTGGGAGCGCTCGCACGTCATATGTCGAAACCTACCAATGACCACCTTTTGACGGCTAAGGGTGTTTTGCGGTATCTTGCTGGTACGCGCGATTTTGGTTTAGTGTTCGAAGGGAACGGTGGCCTGCAGGGTTTTGCCGACGCTGATTACGCTGGTTGCCCTGATACCCGGAGGTCGACCACTGGCTTTGTGTTTTTGCATTCGAACGCGGCTGTTAGTTGGTCCAGTCGTGTCCAGCCTACTGTGGCAGTTTCGACTGCTGAAGCTGAATACATGGCTGCTGCGGCTGCTACGCGAGAAGCTTTGTGGTTGAGGCAATTGTTCCTGGAGTTGGGGGTTGACGCTAACTGCGTCAGCATAGCGTGCGATAATAAGGCTGCTATTTCTCTTATCGAGAATCCTGGTTCTTCGGTGCGAACTAAGCACATAGATGTCGCTCACCACTTCGTACGAGAGCGAGTTGAGCGAAGCGAGGTTTGTTTTCGTTATTGTGGTACGGCTGATATGGTCGCCGATTGCATGACGAAATCGTTGAGTCATGCGATGTTCAAGCGATTCCGTTTGGCTATGGGAGTGCGATAGTCGAACAGGCTTGCAGACTGCCCGCGTGGGAGTGTTGAGGAAAATGTTGTCCGGTCAGTCTGTCGCCTGATGCTTGCGTGATGCTTGGTTTCTGGATAGAGTGGAGCCATCTTCCGTACTTGCTGATCGACTGTCGAACTCGTGAATAAATAGGAATGAGCCAGCGATTATCTTTGGTCTGGTATGCTTCTAGAGTAGTGAGTTGTGGCTGAGCTGAGCCGTTAGTCGCTTTGTAAACGCTCTGGCAATCACTATTGCGTCCAAATCCATTCAGCCTTCAAGAATAATTACCATTACAATACTATAGGAACATTTTCCAATTGTTAATTCACGCAAAGCGCACCGAGCATTTTTCACGAACTCCTGCAGCTATGTATGTACAAGCCTGGTGATAATTTTCGCCATAGAAACGATACTTATACTGTTCTGTTCCTAGATAATGCTGGCTTGCCTTGGGTGATGGGGCGTAGCCGCGGAGCTTCAGCTGGGCGCGGTGGCACCTCGCGCGGTGGCCGCAATCGTATGTGAACACAATTCAGAAAGCCGCCCCGAATCGGACTCCCAATCAGACTCTCAATTGGACTACATGTGAACACACCCTTACCATTAGGGTTTCGTTAACAGAAAAGTTAGTCCTTGAAACGGACACGCCGCAGGATCAGGACACGATATATAGGCACTTTCACCGTCAAGCATAGAAACACACACGCCAGAAGGGCATGGGATTGTATAGACTGTGCTGTGAATAAAGTTCCTAGACTAACCACGATGGCAAGGTAGAGACGAAATGGACGCCCACATGTCGCATATGTCTGACATGTAAATGCCAAGTGTCGGACAATTGCGTTACATCTCACTCTTTCACGTCATGGACATGGGCAAGGAAGGGCTGCTGTGGAATACAATTAAAGGAAGCGCCAACGAAACATTGAATGAAACGAATTGAGGAAGCCCTGCAGTAAACAAATGTTTCCGGACATAACCCTAAATCAAGGGCGATGAAAAGCCCTCGATGCGGTGAAATGCTTAGGATATAACTTGGTGCATGGGTATCTGGCACACACGCTGGCACACGGGTTGATTCACAGTTTGCAATCGTGGAGTTTAAATCACCAGAACATTGTGAAGTTCCACGTGGTTAACCGCAGTTTCGATGAGTCGAGTCCAAGTCCTTTGTGACCAACTCAGTCATGCTTGACAAGTGAGGAGGAAGGACGCAAGGAGTTCAGCAGTGAACCACGCGGCCTCTGCTCAACGCCAAGAGTCGCCAACTAAGTCGATTGAGTCGAAAAGAGTTGAAATGAGTCGAATTGACCCAGGAAGAGACGTTCATGCTGCTTGAGTGAACAATATGTGTCCATGACCTTGTTGAAGCGACAATCTTAGTCGAATCGAGTCGCCAATGTCCAATACATACCTGTGTTAGGAAATTGAATCGCAGGTGTGGTGCAAGATACGGTTTAAGTCAACGTTTCGCTCGTCCATTGCCTACATGTACATTCCCGGCACTCCCCTGCCTAAGGCACTGATTGGGTCAGTTACCCATGGGTTACCCATCTTCAACCCCCGGTAGCCCTTCGGTAACCCCCTTGTAAGTTCCTACCCAGCAGGAGGGGTGACACGGCCCCAGGGTAAACCCCTCCGTTGCCCTGGACTATGGACCGGTGTATTTTTTTCCGTAATATATTACGGTTCCGTAATAAAATGGCATATTTGCGTTCTGCGCTCCGTCATAGACCATGGTAAAGGCCTGGTACGGTCGTTACGGAGCCGGGGCGGGCCGAAGGCCCCCAGAGACGTTCTATTTTAGTATAAATAAGTTATAAATGAGCGATGGGGCCCAAGAAATTAACTACTATAGCTGGTCAGGGTAGCGTCAAAGCATTCCTGACCACCGGCAGGCCAAAACCTAGTAGCGGCGATGCTGGTAACACTTCAAACAATATAGTGAGTACAAGAGAGACATTAGAACCAGATGACAGGGCGCCTCCCGCACGGCGCCACGCTTCAGCCAGTCAATTCCACCAACAGCCAGTTGCAGGCCAGGAAGCAGCTCAGGCGCACCAGGCTAGACGCCCGGAGCCGGTTGTATCACCATCGAAACGACGTAAGCTCAATGAGCCATCGGCTGGCTCTGCTGGGGCAGGTCCATCAGGCACACTGCCAGCGATGCGGCCAGCAACGCGGCTCCCGCAGCCGAGCCCGCGCACGTCTCCAAGCACATCTCAGCAATCTGTTGAGATCGTTGCAAGCCCTCTGCAGTTTGTCACGTCAACTTTATGTGCTAGTCGGCTCAAGTCGCTCTACCCCAAGTGTAACAAATTGACATCCCAACTTGGATCGGAGTCCATTCAAACGATTTTCGAGAATGGAAAATTTGAGAACCAGCTGGTTCGGCCCTAAACTTTGTAAGGTCCATCAGGCAGTACAATGGCGATCGACCTCGACTCGTAAACATGAAACGCACGTACACAAGCAATAGGATATACAACTGAAATATTTTCCCGTTCCAATAAATACACACATTAAGAGGAAGCTTAGCGTGCAATGAGTACTAATGTCAATATATGCGGAACTAAACGATTGGTTGCGAATGTATTGACGTTCGATGAGTACCAAATTATTAATTTCGTTGCATAACCAGCTTCAACTTCATTGGGCATAATCATTGTGTGTTTCTTCGAACGGAAAAATATTTCAGTGGTTTATCCTATTGCTTGTGTACATGCGTTTGGTGCTTGCGAAGACTACCGTTTGGACCTACCGTAATATACTACCGATGTACGAAGATGTAATTTTCGCGGTAGCCGGCCCTCACCCGGCCTACCTACCGATTGAAGACGGCTGTTTACTGCTTGCAGGTACCCTTAGTGTGTAACGAACGATGATTTCTCATGAAAACCGTTTGGACCTACCGTAATATACTACCGATGTACGAAGGTGAGGGCCGAACAAAACTTCCATTCTTGGAAATCGTTGGTAGTAAATTTGTCAGTGGGCAGCGGAAGTGCATTCCACCTTAGCGGAACATACTCATATTTGGTCACCCCACCGCGGCCCAAGGCGGAAGGTGTGCACTAGCGCATGTTACGACGTTCCTGCCGGATTGCGCAAAGAGCAATTGTGTCTCAGTCCGAGCGTGCTCGTCCATTTTTCATCCAACATCTAGTAGGTTCTCGCCCACCTTTTAGCTAGCCGCCCATCGACGCATGCTTGCAACTCCATACGGTGATGGACCCATTACTGTATGGGGATTCTATCTTCCAAATCATGGCAGTGCAAAAATACTTTTCATTACTTTTTTAAGAAATTTGCTTAATTGTATCTTCTTCCCTTCTTAATTAATCAGGCCATACATTGTTAAACAGTCATGTTTATTAAACCACTTAGCCATACCGCACGCCCACGAATTTTACACACATACGCAAAAAACCCGCGCGCCGTGCTTTTAAAGGCTGCCCTTTAGCCGTGGTCTTTGCATTTTGGATGTTTACGAACGGTTCGCTCGTCCTTGCATCACGTTTCTGCGAGCAGCCTGTAACGATCACATTCTCTTTAAAGACAATCATGGAAACCCAAAAATTCATATTGTAACTATGCCTCGTTATTCTAGTGTCTCTTATTATTCGGAAACATAATCTTGTCATCTTCACCTGCGTTTCCCTTCGTTGCGTGCTACTTACATGGCGGTGGCGGGCGACAGCAGTATGGCTGCATACGGCTGCATACAGTCGAACATCCCAGCAGCGTCGGCACGAAAAATCAACAACTCGACGCTTTCCTACGCGAATGCAATGCGTAAACTCCTTGGAAAGGATCGCTTCATTGTAGTCATTACTTAGCTCTCTGAGTGCATGTGTACATACAGCTGATGGGCCTTATTATAACCTTAGAAGTTCCACACGCCCTAAGATATCCACCAATGGCGGGCTCCTTCTACGCCACCAGCTGCTGCTGCTGCTATAAATAGGAGGACCTATGATGGACGAGTGGTTGCTGCAGGCAGCTTAGTTATCAGGTACTGCAGCACACACAGAACAATTCGAGTGCGTGCATCTGCTTTTATGTAAGAAACATACAGAATTACAGTGCCATCAGGGGACGGAAGTGCCGGTGTTACCTGTCCTTCTACCGACACTAATCAATTCACCAGCGTCGTATCCATAACCAATATCAATTAATATCTGAAATAGCGACGATGCGACAACTTCGAGGGACGGCGTACCTCATTTCGGGTCTAGTGGTGGCGCTCATTGCACAGTTCGGTGAAGTGAGGTCGACTCACTTCCGTGCCGGCATAATCGAGTACCGCGTCAGCCAAACGAACCCCAATACTTTGGATCTCGTCGTGACGACATGTTGGAGGTACGTATGCAGGACTTCACTAAACAAAAGGGTGATGCGGTTACTAGCTAGGTACTGCTGATTCACGATGAGTGCGTTGAAAATTGGAATGGTCTATAGGCCGTGCCAAGGTATAATAGAAAGGCCTGGAAATAGATGGTCTAAAGATGTTCCTCAATTTTACAGACGCGAAAGTAGGATGTCAGCTTCCTTTAAATGTGAAAAGGGCGGGGCCCCTCGCTGCGATACACCTGTATAAGTTGGTTGCTTCAAGCGATGATAACTTTAGTTCATCTTCTACGGGAACTAAAGGGGAAGAAGAAGAAGAACTTTCGGGGATAAACCAAGGCGGTAATTTCCGTTGGCCTCCAATCCCTCCTAGCCTTTGTGCTTAGAGTGAGGAGGACGGGTGTCTGAGTAAGCGGGAGGGGAGGGGGGACGTCGAAGGGCGAGTATTAAAGCGCCGCCCCAGTTGCCCGATAGCGCACGTTTCGCGATACAAATAAGATGAGCTGGAAATGAATTACTGGGCGCAATAGGCGGCTGTGCCGTTGACCACGTCGTTCTAAAACCGCCATAGAGAGAAGGCGTTTATGTCCATACGTGCAATGTTTTGTTCGCCAATCGATTAATGGAGATTAAAAGATGGTGTTATAATACATTGACCATGAGCCTCATTGAGCCGTAAGCTTGGTTTGGTTATAACGGACGAACTGCGGACCCAGGCGAGGAATGGCGAGGGCGACGGAGGCCGCGCTGAACGAAGCCTTTTTTCCCGCCGCCGCGCTCACGTCGGCGGTCGAATTCTGTCGGCGTTTTTGCGCTCTTCCTGAAGAGCATTGAGCACTAAATAATGTGCACATAGTAGATACTGAAATTTACTTGGTTGCAGGTATGACTATCCCGATGTTATGAGCATTCAGTTGGATGACGGCGGCGGCTCGTCTACGTTCCTCTTTAACACGAGTACTGCTGATGTCGTTGGAGATGGCTACGACGCTTTGGGTAATCAGTATATTGTTCTAAGGTTCGTGGCATATTTAACACCCTCGTACATGAATTGCTTCTACATCTTGTTCGAGACGTACTGTACATATTCATCTACCTCATGCATGTGCGTAAATCAAACATGCACTGCAGCTGCGGCTCATGTAAAGCAACAGCACCACTACCAGTATCGCAGCAGCCATGCGTCCAGCAGGGCCTCTACATATTGAGTGAAATCGTGCATGCATGTGGCTGGGAGGCCCGGTGATATGTACTTGTTGCAGTATAGTCGTTTTTAGAACAAAAATTATCGATACTGCCCAACCCGTCTATGCCACAATATGTAGCCAGCTGGGTGAGGTAGCCTGGGCATGGTGAGAAAGATGGCTGAATGTGGGTGGCTGAACAGACAGAATCCGTAGCAGTACATGCAGTGCAGTGCGGTGCGGAACAGCTGCAATGCAGCATCCCTCACGTACATCTCTGCTGCCGGTTTCTGCAGGACTTATGGCTCAGCTGCAGTTCCCGCAGACGTTGGAGAGATTAACGCTATTAGCTGTTGCCGCATCGATGGCCTTGTTGGCGGACTAGATGATTACGCGTTGGATGACTTTCGCTTTGCCGTGAACTATGTCCCCGGCGTGAGTTCGTCAATCGTCATCCAAGCGCCGGCCATCATGCTCATTGACAAAGCAACGAGTTCAGGGGTAAGGACGACAGCAAGGGCGGGGAAATACGTATGGAATCTGGCATGTACAAAGGGGGTGGGTAAACTATGTTTGTAAGGAAGCGGAGTGCCAGGGTAGGGCATGGTATACCCGGAGCAAATGTTAATGGCATGGCGCCAGACATGGCAGGGCCCTTTCCTGCAACCGAAGCCACATAAGCTCACGAGGCACCCCTATTAAAGGCCCTCTCAAAGTCAATCTGTACTATTGGCTCTGGAAGATGCATGACATTGGCCAATGGACTGAAGGAGTACACTGATGAAGACAGAGCGCTAGGTTTGATGTCGCACTTACATGCACACCTGACCTGCCTCCATTTGTATGCTTCGCTGACAGGGCTACAACTACACCTTCGTGCCGGCCATCAGCTCCCACGGGGCGTCCATCAGCTGCTCCATCAACACGAACCTCGCCGATACAGTTCCTGTGAGGAGTCGCACAGCGACTGTTGTGTATCCTGTTATGTATTACTGTAATATCCTGGGTATCCCGAAGTTGACATCCGCCGTCCGGTTCTTTTCCTGCGAGAAGACGTGATACTTTAAATCGGTATCGAGTCTCCTTATCTTAGTCTTGACCCAGGTTCGATTCTCCTTACGGCCTGCTGCCGCTGGTTTCCTGTGAATGCTGACATCTTTTGGGTATTCTGAGACAGACGAACGGTCGATGACGCCCTCAACTCTGGGGGGGGGAATATTGTAGTATCCTGGGGTATCAGGGGATTGACTTCCGCCGATCGGTTCTTTTCCTGCGATAAGACGTGATACAACAATCACCCGCCGTACTGTCGCCATCAAGCCGTACATACGTGTTCGATAACCAGCTGCAGCAGGCCGCACTATTGGCCTGCGTGGGTACAACTTTTGTCGACTATAGCTATAGATAGGGTCATCGTATGATAGATAGGACCCGGAAATGGATCGTCTATCAATGCATTATATAGAATGGTCTATAAACCATCCCGAAAATATATGGTCTACAGACGACCAAAATGTTACAGACATGCTCCGTGTGTTGTAAT